GAATAAATAAAATCTTTTTTAAAAAATCCACAATTTCCTAAACTCAGCAAACTGTACACCTAGAGTCAATAGGTTTTATTTATGTATTAAAGCTGAGAGGAAAAAAAAATCAGAAAAGAATTGAACTTTCTCCACTCCCTTCTTATGTATTTTCTGCCTTGGTAGGATTTCTATTTTGAATTCCATGTGGGAGTGAGAAATTTTAAGGTTTTCAGTTAGAGGTTCTTGGTGTCTTCATCTGGCCATGGCGCCAAAGCTTTGGAGGCCCTTTGGGTCCTGTGTTGGGGACACTGATCACCGCCAAGGCATCTCCTGTTCTTGTCCTCCCAGAGCAGCAGCTCTGTAACTTTCAGGCCATGCTTGAGGCCCTGGTCGGAGTCTCTGGTAACACGGGGGCCATGGTGCCATGTTCCTGCCTCCCCTGGTAACTACAGGACACAGGGTGGGAGGGCACTCACCCCTCCCTGCAGAAATCTCCACCAAAGCGCCCCCTTTTCTCCCTGGCATTCTCTCTCCCATCATTTTATGTGCTTCTCCAAGAAAGTCTTTATCTAATCCCTCAGGCAGGTGGAAAAATCTGCTGGAGAGGGAGGGGTCGTGGAGAAGTCAAAGATACAGGAGAAAAAATACAAATGAATATTTCAACAAATTACTAGGCCGTGGATGTCAGTGTACGCATAAGAGATGCCAATGTCATGACTGAAGAGCAGTGGGAGGCCGGCGAAGGGGGGGTGTGGAGGGCGGTGGCTGGAAAGATGATTCTCAGGGGCATGCGGAGAGGCTGGCAGGGGTGACAAGGGAGATGACCGGTGAGGGCACCTGACAGCCAGAGTGCCATGTCATCTCTCTGGCATCCTGCCCATTGAGGCAGCTGCATCTGTAGGGCACACAGGTCCCTGTGGTCTACACCCTCAGCCTGACTGGCAGTAAAGGAAGGAGATGAGAGGGGACTCTGGAGCCGCTGCTGCCGCCTGCTGGCTTTGTGACCTCGAATCTGCCAACACCACTGTGTGACCCTGGGCATGGTAGGTCCCCTTTCTCTGCCTCAGTTTCCTCCTCTGTAACACAAGGATGGTAGTGGCCCGCCCCTACCTGGAAGCAGGTGGTGAGGGGAAGCACATCAAAAGCCTAGAACATGGCCTGGCTGGAGGGAGCCCTGCAAAGAGCTGCAGCGCCCACTGTTATGGTACCTGAGTCAGGTGTGGGGCTGGGCGGAGGGAGCAAGGTCACCTGACTGCAGGGTGAGAGCTTCCTTCTGGGTGGTCTGGAGGGGCCTTTGGGAGGCAGCCAGGGCCCACCGTGGGGGGAGCAGGCCCGGGAGCTGATGTCCATGCTGTGCGTACACGGGCAGAGGGGGTGAGGCCAGGCAGGGGGCTCCTGGAGTGAGGTCGAGTCCTGGGGTCTAACAGCGATCTGTCCTCCTGAAGGCAAGAGAGGAGCCTCCGGGGCCTACCCCGGGCCGAGGGGCAAAAGTAGCATCAGAACACGAACAGAATAACAGTGGATGCTTCTTTCTTTCTTCCTTCTTCATCTCCCTCATCATCTACCTTTCTCTTTCCTTTTGTCCTTCTTGGTCTCTTCCCCTCCTCCCATCCCCTTCTCCTCTTTCTTCCCCACCTTGTTCTAAAAGGCCTGCGAGGACGGAGGACGCCTCTGGTCTCAGAGCTATGTCATGAGTCACCCACTTGTGTGCTTGCGGTTTACCTACCAGTAGAAAGTCTGTACCTAAGATCACCACATGCTCTAGGCAAATGGTTTCTGATTCCACTCCACAAATATTTACTGTGCTCTGGTTAACTGAGCGTACTTTGTGTTGGAGATGCCGGAGAGATGCAAATGGGCAAGGCCAGTCCTCGGAGGAGCTGGGGCCCCTGGTTGATGTTGGCAGAAGACAAGCCCCCCTTTCCCAAGGATGCTAAAGAGCTCTCTGTCTCCCTGTGCCCTGGGCCCACTCCCTGCTCCAAACAAAGGCAGAAAGGGGCACGGCTGCCAGTCCTGTCAGATCTCGGCAAGACTGTGCATTGAAGGCACAGTCAACAGGAAGGAGGTAAAGCCTGGTCTGCAGGGATTGGGGGGCTTGCTAAATATCTGTGGGTCCATTGCTGATGACACACGCAAGTGACAATTCTTATTTCACATCTCTTTCTTCCTTGCCTGTGAGCTTTCCAAGATCATCCATATAAATAGAACTTTCTTCTCAATGTGTTTTTCAGGACCACACCAGGCTTTCACGTGTTTTATTTGCATGTTGTTTAATTTGGAGAGAAAGTTTCAAGCCTCCCAATGTGGCAAGGTTTAGCCAGGTCCCAGGAAGAGCACAGTGCTGGTTTGCCGGAGCTCTCAGGGTTCAAGGGAATTAGAAAAATAAGGGAAAATAAAATCTGAAGGGAACTGGGGGTTGCAGCTGGGAAGATGGCTCCCCAAGTGCTTTAGGCTCAGACTTCCTGGCCTCAGTGTGACATGGAACTGTCTGTGAGTAGCTCTGATGGATAAATGTTGAACAGCAGGGACATGCGCTTCTTGCGGGCTGGATCACTGAACTGTTCAAGTGAGACCTCCCACAGACTTCTTCTCCTCAGGCATGGCAACCATCATCGTCCTCAGCTGCTTCAGCCTCATCCTTGAAAAATGCCACATGGACAGCCCCTCTGCTGGCCCACCACAGACACCGTGGAGTGAGATGTGAGCCCTGGTGGTTGTAAGCCACTGAAATTGTGGCTTGTTTGTTACTGCCAACCAAGCATAACTTGGACTGTCCTGACTGATACATCAGGGAAAACAAAAACTCTGATCTGAAAGGCAGTCCCTTCTTCTCCTCTCTTCAAAGTTCAAAATACCAAATCTTCTCCCTTCTCCTCAGTCTTATTAGTCAACGCTGTGCTTTATCTGGTCAATATTTATCATGTAGCATGAGTAAAAGAGGTGAAAAAGTTTTGTTGGAACAGAAATGTACAGAAAGCAATGAGTCCATTTGAGGTTGGGAAGTTATCGTGTGATGAGAGAGGTAACAAATGGAACCTTTTCCCGCCCCCCTGATGTGGGTAGAACAGCAGAATCACAGTCCATTACCGGTGACCATCATGGTAGACTTTAGAGGTGATCTAACTTAACGCTGTAGCCCGAGAAGGCATTACTTCTCCATCTCTGACTTATCTGTACCTACCCAGTGCCAGTCATGAGGCTGAGCACTAGAGAGATAGAGGGGAATAAAACCCCACCTAGTGGGTACAGTGATCCAAGAAGGGTTTGGATCTAGTACTCAGAGCACTGAGGAGGAAAGAAGCTACTTCAGGTGAGAAATCAGGGAAGCTTCTTGGAAGAGGTGGTAGTTTACCAACAAGAGCCTTACCCCTCACTGTATGTTTGGGCCAATTCCTGACTGATTGTGGGAATATAAAAAATAGGTGTTGGGCATGGCTCACCACCTTCTCTACCATGTGGCCCAACTCATCAAGATCCACCAGAGATTACACTTCTGAGCTCTTCCTCGTCCTGTGGCTTCTCAGACCGTCTTATGCATGTCCAGGCTTTTGTCTAGGTATAGTGTGGTCTCTGCCCTGGGAGGTGAGAGACCAGCTGGGTGACACTCGTCTGCTCTGTAAAACCAGGAATTAAAACGAGAGCCTGACATTCTAGGCAAAGCGCTGCAAGTGCTCATCTAACCATACTCCCTGCAAAGAATCCCTGCCTTGGTTGGGGCAGGTGGCCATGTCTTCAACTCCCATCCCAGTCTCCTGTGGGGAGAATCACTGATGAATGACTTTCTTCTGGGGCTTGTTCAGCTCTGCAGCCTTTAGCAAGTAACTCATTCACAAGTGAGTACAAATTAATACAGTACATACCAGTTACACACATATTGTGCTGTAATCAGTTGTCTTCTGTAATCAAAAGGCGAGGCTGATAACATTTTACTTTCCCTACCTTGCAATTCTGGAGGAAAACTTTGGGGGAAGGGAACTGAGGTGGTAGGAGGCGGGTTTTGCTGCATGAGTGTGTCTGCGAGTTGTGTCTGATGGACTGGGAAGAGGGTGAGTCCCTTTAGATTCAGATACATTAAGTATTTACCAAATGCCTATTACGTGAGAGGCACCGAAAGACATATTCTCTTATTTCATTATGGGTCAATAGTAGTAACCGTTGGATGACACAAAAGTTAGTCTTTACAATAACATCACCCCTCCCACAAATATTATTGTTGGAATTTAAATACTCCTTTTGCTCATAAAAACCCGATGTAGACTTACAAGGAAAATAAAAAGACATAGCAGCCCCCATCATTTTGCTTACAGAAACCATAAAGGGCAGGGGAACAAGATCTTCAGGGCCCAGTGGAAGGTAAGTGGCCTACGGTGCGGGACTCTCCAAGGTGAGAACAGGGGAGGTGAGCTGGAGATCTTCTTCGCACCCTTGGCCTGCATATCCACTTTATGGACTGTGGAACCATTTAAATGCCCGGGATTGGAAATTTTAAATCACTGCCCACGATACAAGGAGGCAACGCCGTCTTTCCGTTTACCTGCCAGTGCTAAGGCCGGCTGGGGTTTTTGCATCGGTCGTTTGGAGTCCTGAGGGTGCTGACTTCGTGGGGGCAACCTCTCACTCCCCCCCCCCCCCCGCTGGGGCTCCAGGGCACTTGGGAGGATTTGGAGGGAGCTCTACCTACCCTTTGGGAAGGCAGAGTCTTAAAATCCGCAAGCAAAGCCCCTTCGGCCTGGTGGACGGAGACAGGGCGTAAGTCCCCGGGGACGCTCGGCGTGCGCCTGACCCCCGGGGTAGCGGAGTCTCCCTAACCCTGACCCCAAGTCAGCCGTTTTAACTCCTCTCTTAAAGCAGCGCTCGAGGCAGGCTGTGGTTCGGGAGGAAAAACGAAAGCGCCGGTACTGAGCGTCAGCACGAGGGCTCTCGCCCCCCGGGGGCTCGGGCAACCTCTCGGCCCCGCCCCGCGCCCCCCGCGCCCCCCGCGCCCCCCGCGCCCCCCGCGCCCCCCGCGCCCGGCGGTTTTAAACAATCGCGCTCCCCCGGACCCCTCCGCCCCGGGCACCCGGTTGGCGCGCCCAGTCGCGTCCCTCCGCAGACGCCGGCGGGAGTGGGTGGCAGCACCGAGGCGATTCTGTTCGCATTTTTTTCCCTCCGGGTTTTGTCACGGAAACGCTGACACCACCTCCAGACGGCGGCCGAGCCCGGCCGGGGACTGAGGGCTTTTGGGACCCTGCGGGAGCGCGGCGCACACTCCGCACTCCCCGGGAAACAGCTGGACGCGACCAATTCCCGGGCAGGGGCGGGGGGAGCGCGACGCTCCGCCCCGGCGCTCCGGCCCCTCCTCCCTCCCGGCTCGCCGCGGGCTGCGAGTTGCGTTTGGTAAAGCCCAGCCCCGAGCGCAGAGATCCTCGGAGCGCGATGAAGTAGGCTCCGGGGCGGAGGGAGGGGGCTCGTCCCACAGCCACAGCCACCGCGGCCAGCGCGGCGGCCGCACCACCCGCGCTCGCACCCCAGCCGCCGGCCCGCGAGGAGGCAGCGCGGCGGCCGCCGGCTAGAGCGGAGGCGGCGGCGGCGGCGGCGGCGGGGAGGCGGAGAGGAGCCGCAGCCGGAGCGGCGGGCGCGCGCAGCCGGCGGGTCCACGCACCTCGGCACTTCCAGAGCAACTCCGGCGCCTTCCAGACCCCTGCCCGGGGCGGGGGGCCCCGAGAGCCGCCGCGGAGCCCGCCCGCTCGTCCCCCCACCCGAGCCCTGCGCAGCCCTGCCCGGCGCCTCCCGCGCTCCGCTCGGCGCGGCAGGGTCCCGGCTCCTGCGCCCCGGCGCGCCTCCCGGACAGCCCGGTCCCCGTAGCCTGGACAAAGCCATGAAGCCGGCGCTGCTGGAAGTGATGAGGATGAACAGAATTTGCCGGATGGTGCTGGCCACTTGCTTGGGATCCTTTATCCTGGTCATCTTCTATTTCCAAAGTATGTTGCACCCAGGTAGGGGGCGCGTTAGCGTGGTCTTGTTGGATATTTTTTTCCCCCTCTCGCGCTCTCCCTCGGCCGCTCGCTGGCGCCGGGTTTCTGCCTTTTCCAGCCTTCCCTCTTCCGCAGCCACCTCGGGGCTGCTTGCTGCCCGGTCCGCCCGGAGTCGGGATGGAGAGGAGGAAGGAAGACGTGCCCACCTTCCCCTTCTTCCTCCCGGCTCCAGGGTGGAGGATGGGAGCAGGAGGGGCGGTAGTTGGTGGGTGTTTTTTTTTTTTTTTTTCCTCTCTCTCTCTCTCTCTCCCTTTTTTCTTTGTGTCTCTTGTCTGTCTGTCTGCGAGGTAGCAGAGCAAGGTAGAGAGGTCGTGGGCAGCTCCTGGTGGTGGGAGGCGGGTTTGAACCGATCGCAACTCCCCGCTGGTGCCGCGATCTGGGGATGAAAGCGACGCCGGGAGCGGCCGCCCTGCGCCCGGGCTCGCTGCCTTTTCCTGGGGGTGGGGTGGGGTGGAGGGCGCGGGGGCGAAGGCTGTGCCCCCGCCGAGGTCGCCTGTCCCTGCTGCGAGCTGGGGAGCCCGAGGCTTGACTCCCACGTGTCCTGGGCTCGGCGCCGCGCAGAGGTGTGGGGAGAGGTGGGGTGCCCGGCGCTGCCCCTCCGCCCGGCTGGGGAAGAGGCCGGGCGCCCGGTGTTTGCCCCCCGGGTCTGGCTCCACGTCGACCTTGCGGCCGGTGCCCTGGGGCCTGCTTCACCCTGCGCCCCCGCCCCCGCGGCTCTTGCGACCCTGCGCTGGTCACGGCCCCTGCCCCCGCCTTGGCCGCAGCAGTTTTGGAGGAAACTTTGGCCCGGCCCGGGGCTGACGGTCAGGTTGCCTCCCCCTCTCCTGGCGTCCGAGCATCCGAAGTCCCCGGAGGGCTCGGGGCCTGTGACAATGGGCCTCCCTCACACCCCCCCCGCCCCCAGCCCTAGAAAGCTTAGACAAGTTCCACGTCGGAAATCTGGACGAGGGGAGGATGGAGGCTCGCCCCTTCCAAGGGGCGCTAAGGAAAGTTTGGGACCCGAGGAGGTAAGGGGCGCCTTGGAGCTGGGCGATCCGCCCGCAAGCCCAACAGGTAAAAACCACCCAAGGAGGCCTCGGCTCTGCTGGTGGCTCCTCTCCTCGGGGAGCCGTGGTGTCCCCGCCCCACCTCACCCCGGCAGACCCCTCTGGGCCACATTGGCTTCGAAATCCTTTTTTTTTTTTCTACGCCTCCGAGTTGCCTTTCTCAGTAGAGCCACAGCAATAATTTGCTTTTATAATTGCAAGGAGGGAACTGGAAGCACATTTCCTTCCAGGGAAATGGGGTTGTTTGTTTGTTTGTTTTGTTTTTTGTTTTTACCCCCCTTCTCCTTTCAGTGTGTATCTAACACTTTGAGCAGACGCAGCCTTGAATTCTTCCAGCCTGTGTTTGGGTGGGTGGCGGAGGGCTGAAGCTGTTCTTTCCATCAATCAGGCAGGGCTGCCCGGGTGAGCTTCCTTGACAGCCGGGCACCCACCGGCTGGAGCAGTTGTTAAGGCGGCCACCTTGCCAAGGATATGTTCTGACGCTACCACACATAACCTCAGGACATCCGAGCCAGACTTGTAAAAGATGGCTTTTGTTTGCAACGGGGTATTTTTAGTTTCATGTCAGCAAACTGCAGCCCTGTTTGTCTCCTCACCCAAACCGGTGGTTGGGAAACTTCTAAGGGATTTAAAAACGGACCTCATCACTTAGGTTCTGGGCCGTGGGCAGTGGTTGCAGCATCCAAGGCCAGACAGACAGAAGCATCCTGGAGGCCAGGCCGGACTCCACCCCAGAGACTGGGGGACTGGGTGGTGTGCGAGTACACTTAGGCTCAACCAGTTTAAACAAAGGGCCAAAGGATTTGGTCTAGACTGTAGACATGTGTTTAGGTCACTTAAAATTTTGCCTGGATGGAACATGCCAGGTAGTACTCTGCAGAAATGCCTACCTAGAACAGGGATGGTTATTAGACTGTGTTGGGAATGCACTTTGACTTCTCTGTACCTGTTAATTGTCTGGGGAGATACTAACTAATACCACCGCTCTCTGTGCTTTTCAGGCAGCTTGGGCTTTGCTTTTCTTGTCCAAGAATTAGGAAGGAACTTTCTAACCAGAGACATGAGGAAGAAACTTCCAACTTGTAATTGGCACTTTGCTAAAATTTCCAGCCCTCGTTTACAACGTTGGCTTGAAAGTGGCACTGGACTTTTCAGACTAGCCTTTGGGAATCAGGGACAGAACTTTCTCTCTGGGTGCTCTGATAAGGATCCTCTGCCCTTGGCCTTTGTTCTCAGCCGTTGCTTCCCTTCTGGGTCCCATGTCCTCCCAGAAATGGCATTTGTTTGTTATTCATATCTATATGAGTATGGTCTTCTTTTTCCCCAGTCATTAGCAACTGGTGCTTTCCATACCTTCTGTTGAATGTAGACCTGAAGATGGGTCAATTGAAGAGTCTTCCTTATTTTGTATTGCATTTGGTTCCACGAAAACTCTGTGCCAGCAGTTTATGATGACATGGGACATAAAGATTTGTTTTGAAACCAATATTAAACATTTTCCTTTCCTTTTTTTTTTCTGTTTTATTAAACTTTACTGGCATGAAACAAACCTGATGACAGCTGATGCTACGTACATATTTTCTACTACTTTGGATTTCTTTTTTTTTTTTTTTTAATTTTTATTTATTTATGATAGTCACAGAGAGAGAAAGAGAGAGAGGCAGAGACATAGGCAGAGACACAAGCAGGCTCCATGCACCGGGAGCCTGATGTGGGATTCGATCCCGGGTCTCCAGGATCCCGCCCTGGGCCAAAGGCAGGCGCCAAACCGCTGCGCCACCCAGGGATCCCTACTTTGGATTTCTTTAAAAGTTAGCTGAGGGATCCCTGGGTGGCGCAGCGGTTTGGCGCCTGCCTTTGGCCCAGGGCGCGATCCTGGAGACCCGGGATCGAATCCCACGTCGGGCTCCCGGTGCATGGAGCCTGCTTCTCCCTCTGCCTATGTCTCTGCCTCTCTCTCCTTCTCTCTCTGTGACTATCATAAATAAATAAAAATTAAAAAAAAATAAAAGTTAGCTGACCAAAGTTGCTTCTTTGATTTAGGGTAGTGGTGGGATGATCCTTTTACCAGGCTCTGCAGTTTCAGGCTTTCCAGCTCACCCAGGGGGAGGCAGAAGGGACCACAGCATGGCACAGATTGTGTTGCTAAAAATTTGGAGCCCTCTGCCAGGAGTTCCACGTACCTGTATCTGAAATAGAAAAGTAGTATTCCGAAAGAAATGGATTTGCAGCTTCATTGGTGGCCAGAGAACATCTGGAGTGTGAGAAGAGGGAGAGAAAGGAGGAAGGAAACTGCTAGTGATGGGGAGGGCTGGCTGTCTTCCCCTCTGATTCTGATGTGGGGCCAATTGTCTTTTGTACTATTCTAATTCCTAAACTTGAGTAGTTGATCCATCTTTCATTTGGTTGGAGCATTAGGCAGAAGTAGGCCTTGTCAGTAAGGCAGCTTTCTTTATATATATTTAAAGATATATATATTTATTTATTCATTATGAGAGACACAGAGAGAGAGAGGCAGAGAGACATAGGCAGAGGGAGAAGAAGGCTCCATGCAGGGAGCCTGATGTGGGACTTGATCTTGGGTCTCCAGGATAACGCCCTGGGCTGAAGGCAGACGCCCAGTCACTGAGCCACACAGGCGTCCTTCTTTAGATCATTGATGCTCTGAGTCCGTAGTCTTTGCTGAGATCAGGTTTTTGGTTTTTGTTTGTTTGTTTTTTGTTTTTTGTTTTTTTGTTTTTTTTTTAAAGATTTTGTTTTTAAGTCATCTCTATACCCCATGTGGGGCTTGGGCTCACACCCCTGAGATTGAGAGTCACACGCTTTACTGGCTGAGCCAGCCAGGCGTCCCGGGATCAAGTTTTAGGCCCCATTCTCATTCCCATGTTCTGCACAGTGCCTGACACCTAGTAGACTCTCAGTAAAATATTTGCTGGATGAAAGCATGAGGTGGCTCAGCCCTAGAAGGCCCACTTCTTTGTTTTTTTCAGGAAGGTTTTCCAGCCTTGACAAGAACGCCCTGTCAAGTGAGTCTGGGTCTGTCTGGTGGGGACCCTTCCTTGCCTTCCTGGTCTCTGAGACCTGAGACACCCCCTCCTGCAGACACAGATTTTGTTTAAGTTGTTGCGCAGCAGATGAGCGCATTCCCCCAGGTAGGACACAGCTGGAGCACTGTTTGGTGTCCTGGGTCCTGGGGAAGCTTGGCTTTGCTTAGCTACTGACTTGAAGAAACCCATCCGCAGGCTGAACACCTTTTGTGGGTGTGAGCTGCTCCTGAAGTTGATGAAAATGGAGCCACATGCTGGTGGTTTCTGCACACTTTTGGGTCGCTCAGTGGAACGCCTCCTGGAAATGTGCATCCTTCACAGTAAAGTGTCTTGCATACCTGCCCCAGACGGCTGGGCTTTGATGGGGCTCTGTTGTGCAAGGCAAAGCCAAGAGGCCCCCTGGAGCTGCATTTGTGCCCAGTGTGTGAAGACAGCTCCTCTGAACCTTCCTTTTGTGTCAGTCCGGAGGATTGTGGTTTTGTTTGAAAGCTCCTGTTAAAAGAAGAGAAGCCCACGGAGGAGAATGCCTTTTCTCCCTGCTTCTCTTACTCTTTTTTTCCTCTCGCCTGTATGTTTACTTTCACTGTTGCTTGGGATTTCTTTGCCTTGGATGGGTGTATTGAAAGATTATACCCTTTATTTAAAGACTTCTTGGGTTACCCCTTCGTAGTTTCACTTGATTTGATTGAATGCACAATACTTGCATGTTATAATTTTAGTCCAATCATAAACATAATATGTGCTCTTTTTAGAAAATTTAGGAAGTGTAGAAGAAAAACAGTCATTTATTATTCCACCACCCAGAGACAACTGGTGCTTTATTCTACAAATTATAGAATATATAGATTAAAAAAATAGTTGAAATCAT